TTATAATCACCATTTAGAGTTTCGGCTGTAGATTTCAAGCTTTTATGTCTCTGTCTTTTCTTAGACGTCATAATTCACTCCCACAAAAACATTTACTTGTAATTTCTTTTAGCTTTTATGTATTTATCTTAATTTCAATATTGTTGCTAAATTAAATATGTTTTTCCAAAAAGTTATGTAGAACTAGAAGACACCACGAAGGTATCTTACTTATACAAGCAATTAATTAATGTTTGACAATGAATATGAGAAACAAAAAATTGCATGCCTCAATATTAATGTACTTTTGTACTGATCACAAGTTGGCCTATTTGGTAGGGTCTGGAATACAACTTATACTAATACGTATAGTATTGTCGTTAATGGGGTCTAACTCAATCGAAAAGGACTTTAACTTGCAGACAAGAGGTCTCAAGTTCGAATTCCCATGACATTATAGTTGTATGTACGTGAAATCTCCATTTTTTGTAGTTTAGATTATTGATATATTATATAATATAGCCGTTGAAAATTGTTACTATTAAATTATTTTTTTTGGTTTGAATTTCGAAGTTGGTGCTCCAGCCCTGGGTGCATGCTCCAATTATATAAGTTTATAGTTTATAGTTTACTCGATGTATGTGAAGAAATGAAATAATACATATTGTACATGCAGATGCAGGAAACAGTTCAACTAACTTTAGCCTCTCAACAGCACATGTGCGGGGCCTTGCATAACCGCTGCCTGATCCTGCAAAGCCTCTGATTCGTATAACATGGAAACTAAAAACTAAAAATACTTTAAAGTTGTTCTAAAGTTGTTTTAAAAAATAAAAATGATTTTGAAATTTATGTTACAAAACATGTTTTCAGTTTTTAGTTCTTAAAAATAATGAAAATGAAATCGTTATCACTTACAGGCACTTAGTAAGCTAATATGGTGATGATTTTCCCGGTCTAAATAAAGTAGGTTTTACATAAAGAAGATTCAACTCAACATGTCCTATTCCATTATCCACACCATTCATTTTTTTCTATGCTTTAATTGACTAAAGAATTAAAATCTTCTTGATCTAGAAGCGTCAAAATCACAATATGACAATACTCATGAATTGCCTTGAAATTCATAGAAATCACTAGGACAAATCTATTACGTAAAAAGACTGTATATGAAATAAGTCAATTGCAGGAATGCAATATTGATTTCAGGTTGAATAAAGTCTATAATCTGAAATCTCGAAGGCAAGTTGTGCTTCAAATCTGTATGAAATTTGTGTAGAATTTGTGTCTTTCTTGATGTGTTTAAACATAATTAACATTTACAGGAGCCTTGATATGTTATGTTGGCAACCAAATTAACTCTTGAAATACTGTTTCTTTTTCCGAACTATTTACTCTACTTAGTGTGTGGGACAAAGAATTTTTTGGGTCATGCAAGACACTCATGAATGAAATGGAACTCATCACCCTTTGAATTTCCAAAGATGCAGTTGGATTCACAATATTTTAGTTCCATAATTGTGCTAGGACTTCAACTACAGATATATTATATACAAAATTCCTAGTTGATGCCATGATTGATGTCATTGAAATGATCCCTTCATGCCTAAATATTTAATTTTTGTCCTAATTAGTAAACCCTAGGTGTGGGTTCATGCTCAGCTCTCACGCAATGTTGGAAAAATATTGCAGAAAAGGCTGAAAGCGGAAATTTTCTATGCATTTGATTATTTCTCCTAGGAAAAAGAGTAGGGGAACCTGGGGAAGTATTATATGAAAATATTTTCAATATGTTATGTTGTTAGACTGTGATTATTAATTATATAAAAAGATATCAATTTTGTTACTCTTTGTTTAGGCATATAAACGCCATATGAGATTCTATAACTTTTTTCTGCCTTCACATAAGGAATGAGGTTAAAATAGGAGTGTTGAAATTATGTTTGAATTTGGGATATCCCACTACAAGAAAAAGGAGGCAAAAGCCACGGTTGGCTTAGCCACAACAAATCAATAGTCGTCATTAGTGGTGTATATGGTCACGGTTACTGTGCATCGGTGGCTTATAATATAACATGTTAGACAGTTGTGCATATATAAAAATTAGGTTTTACTTTTAAATATTTAGTCCAATCTTGTAGGCTCGAAAAACCAAAACCCAAATCCACATTGTACTGCATATTTATTTCTTGTGGCTTCATCAATCCGTATTGCCGGTTGGTTATGTAATCGTAGCTTTGTATATGCCAAGGAAAAGTCGTTTTGATTTGGACATGGCTCATGGTGTGGTCTGTTGCTGGCCTACTCCACCAGTGGCACCCAAGCCTAATTTTGCTCTTCCATGTCGGAGAAGCAACAAAACAGAAAAAGCCTAATTGATGTAGCAGTTTCACCGGCTTCTTCTGAACCAGAAAAGTGGAATTATTATTATTATTTATTTAACACAAATGAAACTAGCAAATTTCACCTCTTACTTATGTGGGATGGTGGTGTTTAGGCTTAATCCATTTCTAATTGTAGTGTCGGATATGAGGCTAAGTTGTAATTGACACTTCAATTTTATAACAATACGACCGTGGCCCGTTGGTCATAAATAATTCTAATATAACTTTTGGTGGTGTTTTTTTTTTTTTTAGAGTAAAAGGGATTTCATTCATAATTCAATAGGTTCATACATAGTTTACCAGATTTGCCCTTGTGCGCACGTCACTCCAGCTCCTCTTCGATTGCTTCTGTCATCTGTTTTACTTCATCATGGAGCTAAAAATATTAATCAATTTTCATAAAGATTTCTATTTTAAACATCAAAATAATTGAGAAGTACAGCAATGTTGCTCTCATATATAGCTACAATAATTGCCAGTTACCAAAAACAAAGAGAGCAAATAAAAACATGGTAATTATAACAAAGAAAATGCTCACCCGGCACAATGATACTCTAATTAGGGTACATAAATTATTTATTTATACAAATATGTAATCTTCCCAGACTCCTAGTTTCCTATAATTAAAAAAACAAAAACAAATGCTATAACTGCAGCCAGCCAATTAAAATATATAGTTATTGGAAAAAATAAAATAAAATATACAGTTAAAGTAGGAGCCCAAGAATTAACCAACATAATAAAATTGTTTTTGCAGATAAATAATTACAGCACATTGCACCTGAACGTTCATCTTCCGCTAATCCTGGCATTTTCTTAGTAGACGCAGTTGAAACTTTGAATTTTGTATTGGGAAAAAATGGGATCAAGATTTATTAAATAACTAAATGAGGCAAGCTCGAAACCCACCCAATTCTACAACTTCATCAGAACATGTCGCCAGAAAAAAAATCATCAGAATGACCGCAGTAGCCATGCAAAACCACTAATAAGACATTTTACTTTCATTTGCTCCATCTTAAACCTAGAACATTCTCAAATGTGGAAAAAAAAAAACCTAGAACATTCTCACATAATTATTCATCTATATAGGGGTGAGCACAATCTAGATTGGATGGATTTTAGATCAAAACCGCAATCGAATTAATCAATAATATAACGATTTGGTTCCGTTAGGTTTAACAAAAATCATTTAAGAAGCCAAATAACCTAAAACCATCATGTATTTTAGACACTATGTTTTCAAGTATGCAATAAGAGGACTATAGATGTAAAATATAAATAGATATTTAAGTGACCGATTCAATTCAGTTTAAGCCGATTTTCAAAAGCTCAAAATTGTAATAGAACCAAATTATTACAAGATGTTGGTGGTGCAGGCTGGGGGTTTACAGGATGTTGGCGTTTAGGTTTTTTCTTTGACAGTATTACGTTGTGGTGGGTTGTTCTTTGCGGGGCTTGGAGTTGTGTGTTGTTTTGTCTATTTATTTCGGGTTCTCTATAGTGGCCCAAAGTGACACATGTCGAACTCTCTTGTTAGTTCATGGCATGTGTGGTACTCTTTCTTATTTTTGAGTTTCTCCCATGTGGTTTTCCTATAAATGTTTTAACGAGATCACTGTATTTGTGGCGATATTTATATCCCTGTTTGGTTTAATGATGATAGTTAGATGATTAAACACTTTCTAGTACACTTTCTGGTTTTTAGAAAATCAGATGATTGAAACGTTTACCGAAAATCAGATCATTGAAGCGTTTTTCATATATCTCAAATCCACACGCCAAATCTTTGAGGCTTTATTTGGATGAAGGGATTTAAAAGGAAGGATTTGAATTTGACAACCAGGCTAAATTTACTTTTACATATATCTCAAATCCACACGTCAAATCTTTTAGACTTTATTTGGATGAAGAGATTTAAAAGAAAGGATTTGGATTTGACAACCAGGCTAAGTTTGCTTTTAAAACAAGAATTAAATTAGGTTTGAAATACATAAAATGCTATAGTCTGAACAAACAATTTCACATTATAATACTATCTAAATCCATAGATTTAGAATCTGCCGTCGAAATAGTTAAGGTAGGATGAACTACTGCTCTAAATTTACATTTCACCAAATATGCCTTTTGCAAATTTGCAATTGGTCGTGGTGCATGACATCTCCCATGTCAGCAAAGCAATGGGTTGGGACCATTTTATTGGGTGTGTGAGCAAGGGGGGGAGGTCAGAACCCCAAGGCAATCCCTATCTTAAAAACAATTAACAATCATCATCACCAACTGCAACAGCAACCGACAAGTCACCGGTTACAAGAGAAAGAAGAGAAACAAAGACTCTAAAATACCTAAAATTTATTCCATTATTTAGCTAGAACTTAGAACTAGAAGAAAATAGCCAATAGGTATAGCCCAATTAAAAAAGGATTTAACTTGTACACGAGAGAGGTCTTAAGTTTGAATCCCTTTAGTGTGTGAAAAATCTCCTTATCCTGTAATTTAGATTATCGTTTATAATAATAATAATAAAAAATAGAAGAAAATAATAATTTGACATAAGAGATAGATTAAAAGTCATAGAGGGCCCCACTTATGGGACGGGGTTAAACGGCGGGATCAAATTCTCTCTTTCCTTTAGAGACGTATAAAACCAGAGGCACCACAACACCCCCCTCTCCACAATCCTCATATCTCTCTCCCTCTTCTTCTTCTTCATCTTGGGATTCAAACATCTCATTCAATGCCCTTTAAATCTTCTTCCTCTCTCTCTTCCTTTTGATACATAAACAAAAAAAATCGCAGCATTTTTGTTGTTAGTTTGCTTGCTCTGGTTCTGCTTTTAAGTTTGTGAAAGATGGGGGGCACAGAGAAGGCTATCAGCCTCGAGGAGATCAAGAACGAGACTGTTGATCTGGTATGCATATATATATGTTTCTTCCTCATTTTCTCAGGAAAATATAGGATTCTTGGTTTTCTTCATGTTTTTGTTGTTGTTAGTTTTTGCTTTTCTTGAGATGGGTTTTTTTTGCTTAATCTTTAGACCAACTGGGTTTTAGGCCGTACATGGAATTGTTTCCTTTGCTTAACAAATTTTGAGTTTTGCTTGTTTCATATTTGGTTGATGTTCAGATCTGAGTATTGAGTTTTCTTCACTTGTATAATAATATATACTTCTATTTCCAAATTGATTCTTTGCAAGTATATACTTTCTTTCTTTTTCGAGCTTGCTCGAACAAAGTGGAGACTGAATGTCACGAAACTACGTTTGTTTCATGTTTCTTAATTTCTTAGTTGCATGCATACATAAGAAGCCTTTAAGTCATAAACTTTGCAGCTTGGGTTTTCATCACAAACCTTTTTCTTTCATGGGTACATCTCAAAATTCAAAGTTTTCAACTTTCTCACCAACCAAGCAGCCTATAAAATATATCTTCAGGTAGAATCCAAATTGAATGGATCTACACATGTGACTGACAGAGAGAGGTTGAGTCCACTAGGGTTAATAATTTCACAATACGTTAATTTATTTATTTAATATATCAATGTGAGTTCTCTCTCTCTCTCTCTTTCTTTCACTTTCTCTCTCCTCCTCCATCTATGTGCCCTCTTTGTTTGCTTTAGAATTTGGGAGTACCTTTCCGTGGTACTTTGGGCTTTTCCCTGTTTGAGAAATTCTCTTTTTGTTTTTCTTAAAAGACTTGAACCGTTTCCTTTGATCCAACTCTCGCACTCAGCAATCCTCTCACCCCTGACACCGCTCATCTCTTCCTGGATTTTAAATTAATTAAAATTAAAAAAGTTCTTTTATTTGTATTTGTATTCTTCTCTCATGCCTCTCTTGCCCTTGGACTATTTTGTTATTTACTCTCGTATCCCAACGATTTTTCGGGTACTGAAGCGTGTGTTGAACACGCACCAACAGGCTCCGGCGTTGAAAAGTTGACCTGCCCACTGACACAAACAGTTAATTTATTTTATTTAAAATAAAATAAAATGCATACGTTATCTTTGGCGTGGGTCAACACTTTACTGATTGGGCAGCGTCCCTAGGCTAGAATTTAGAATACCATAGTCATGTACAGTTCCTACATTGAGTGCCGAGTTGACTCGCTCGATTCAAACCGTCGGATAAATATTCCACATTAATCCCCAAAAATAAAAGAAAACAAAACTTGATTTTATTAAGATTTAATTCAAACCCATTTGATTTTGATTTTGAGGTTTAAAATTTTGATTTTGAGTTTTTTTGTTGGGGGGAGATGGGTTGATTTGGTACTATCATGCCTTTATTTGGGGTGGGATCTACCAATCTGGAAAATAAAATTGTAATGGATTTGTGGGTAATATTAATGCATGAAAATATCACATGTGGACCTCAAAAGAATGTCAAACCAATGAACTGGCTATACAATTATGTGCATGTTACATTACATGTTCTTATAGAAGTGATTCTCCGACAGTTGTGATTGTTGCCAACACTTGCTTGTCTAACTTGTACCAACTATCATTTTTTTTCTTTGGTATGTAGCTGTAACAGCTATAATTTGGTTGGCTTCTTTTTAGTATATTTCTTATAAAGCGGAATTATTTTACATGTATTACATTTACTGATCACGTTGGTACAAATAGTATTACCATACGAAGATTGTTTCTGGATTTTCCTTACATATTCCAATTTTCCTAACAATGAGTTGGTTTACAGGAGCGGATTCCAATTGATGAAGTCTTTGAACAGTTGAAATGTTCCAAAGAAGGTTTAAGTGGAGAGGAAGGAGCCCAGAGGCTAGAGATTTTTGGTCCCAACAAACTAGAAGAGAAGAAGGTCCTTTTTGCTTAATAATATAACTTGTTCAGTAAAATAACAACAAAACAATAAATTTGAGTGTAGTTTAGTTCAAATTCTGATGGAGATTTTTGGTCCCAACAAACTAGAAGAGAAGAAGGTCCTTTTTGCTTAATAATATAACTTGTTCAGTGAAATAACAACAAAACAATAAATTTGAGTGTAGTTTAGTTCAAATTCTGATGGAATTGGAATTTGTGTTACAAAAATGAACAGGAAAGCAAATTTCTCAAGTTCTTGGGGTTCATGTGGAATCCTCTGTCATGGGTCATGGAAGCTGCCGCCATTATGGCAATTGCTCTGGCCAATGGAGATGGGAAGCCCCCAGATTGGCAAGACTTTGTTGGTATTGTCTGCTTGCTGGTCATCAACTCCACTATCAGTTTCATTGAAGAAAACAATGCTGGAAATGCAGCTGCTGCTCTTATGGCTGGTCTTGCTCCTAAGACTAAGGTAATAATGGGAGAAACCAAATAAGAGCCTCATTGAAATCGAACATTTGAAATTTATCTTCGTACTGAAGTTACCGAAAGTTTAGGAAGCATGAATTTTGTTTTTGTTAGTAAATTTATGCTCATTTTTGGATGCTAGTAGGGAAACCTCCATGCTTTGGACCAATGTGATTAAAATGGTAAACATACTGAGAATTCTAGATTTAAAGTACTCAGAATATTGACAATGATAAGGTAGTGGTGACATAAGCGTGATGACTTATAAACAACTAGTCATTTGTAGAGTTTGTCTCAATTGTTTATGCAGTACAGATGGATTTAACAGATAATTGATATGAGACTGCGTTTATGTTTCATGTTGATGTATAAATAGGTGCTTAGAGATGGAAAATGGAGTGAGGAGGATGCTGCCATTCTGGTTCCCGGGGACATCATCAGCATCAAATTGGGAGATATCGTCCCAGCTGATGCTCGTCTTCTTGAGGGTGATCCTTTAAAGATTGATCAATCTGCCCTCACTGGAGAATCACTTCCAGTGACTAAAAATCCAGGCGACGAAGTTTTCTCCGGTTCCACCTGCAAGCAGGGTGAAATTGAAGCTGTTGTTATTGCCACCGGTGTTCATACTTTCTTCGGGAAGGCTGCACATCTCGTGGACAGCACTAACCAAGTTGGACACTTCCAGAAGGTGCTCACTGCAATTGGGAACTTCTGTATCTGCTCCATTGCTATTGGAATGTTGATTGAGATCGTAGTCATGTACCCAATTCAGCACCGCAAGTACAGGGATGGAATTGACAATCTCTTGGTTCTCTTGATTGGAGGCATTCCCATTGCCATGCCCACTGTCTTGTCTGTGACAATGGCTATCGGGTCTCACCGGCTGTCTCAGCAGGGTGCCATCACCAAGAGGATGACTGCCATTGAAGAAATGGCTGGTATGGATGTGCTTTGCAGTGATAAGACAGGAACACTAACTCTTAACAAGCTCAGTGTTGATAAAAACCTTGTTGAGGTGTTTGCAAAGGGTGTGGACAAAGAACATGTGGTTTTGCTTGCTGCAAGGTCCTCAAGAACAGAAAACCAGGATGCCATTGATGCTGCTATGGTTGGAATGCTCGCCGATCCAAAGGAGGTATAACTATTTGCCAAATTTTCTTATTGTCAGCCCTGTACTTGCTTCTTCATTAATTCTGGGAGGGAATATTTGCAACAAATGTGCTTATCTGGTGAATTCGTATTTATGCAGGCCCGAGCTGGTATTAGAGAGGTGCACTTCTTACCATTTAATCCTGTGGACAAGAGAACTGCTTTGACTTACATTGATGGTGATGGAAACTGGCACAGAGCAAGCAAAGGTGCCCCTGAGCAGGTATTTCTGTTTTTCCCTATATTTAACATGCCCCACAGTTGCATTACAGTGTCGAAATGTAAGCATTCTTACGCCATACTAATTAATTACTGTGTGTTATCAGATTTTGACCCTCTGCAACTGTAAAGAGGATTTCAAGAAGAAGGCTTTTGCCATTATTGATAAATATGCTGAACGTGGCCTTCGGTCATTGGCTGTTGCTAGACAGGTTTTATACGCAACCTTAATGTATTTAGTATTGTCTTGCATTTGTTCAGTTTTCTAAGAATTAAAGCACCCTCTTACCATTGCTGATGATATATGTTTACAGGAAGTACCTGAAAAATCAAAAGAAAGTGCTGGCGGTCCATGGCAGTTTGTTGGATTGCTGCCTCTTTTCGATCCTCCAAGACATGACAGTGCAGAAACTATCCGCCAGGCTCTTAATCTTGGTGTTAATGTTAAGATGATTACAGGTAAGTCAGTTCACATTTCCATCCTCCCTTAATGCATTCATTTTCTGTTTTGTATGTAGTTGTGCTCACTTGCCAATTGTCTCTATATCTGCAGGTGATCAACTTGCCATTGCCAAGGAAACTGGTCGAAGACTTGGAATGGGAACAAACATGTACCCATCTTCTTCCTTACTTGGCCAAGACAAGGATGCCAGCATAGCTGCCCTTCCTATAGAAGAGTTAATTGAGAAGGCTGACGGGTTTGCCGGAGTGTTTCCAGGTGACTACTTTGATAAACGAGAAAGAGTTTCACGTATTAATTTTGATGAGAAAAACAATATTTTGATTTGGTTTTGTAACACAATGTTGTTTGTTGTAGAGCACAAATACGAAATTGTGAAGAAGTTGCAAGAGAGAAAACACATTTGTGGAATGACTGGTGATGGTGTGAACGATGCCCCAGCATTGAAGAAGGCAGATATTGGAATTGCTGTTGCTGATGCTACAGATGCTGCCCGAGGTGCTTCCGACATTGTTCTTACAGAACCCGGATTGAGTGTCATCATTAGTGCAGTGTTGACCAGTAGAGCTATTTTCCAGAGAATGAAGAACTACACAGTTAGTTGCTCTGCCTTTCTTTTCAAAAGACTACTTTGAACTTTTTGGTTTGAAGAAACAGTTTATGACTCAGAACTGTAACTTTTTCTTTGTTTTTCTGTTTTGTTTTCTCGCAGATCTATGCAGTTTCCATCACAATCCGTATTGTGGTAAGTAAACGGTGGTGGTTTAAAATTTGTGGTTTGTTTCTCTACTCAAGCCTTGATCTAATTGCTTTTTGTTTTTGGCAAACATTGCAGTTTGGTTTCATGTTCATCGCACTCATATGGAAGTTCGACTTCTCACCTTTCATGGTTTTGATTATTGCCATATTGAACGACGGTAAGCTTCTATCAAGTGAACTTGTAAAACAGTATTGAGAATTATGACTGTTGACACCATGGACTTGTTAAATTTGTAAGGCACAATTATGACAATCTCAAAGGATAGAGTAAAGCCATCACCCTTGCCTGATAGCTGGAAATTGAAAGAGATATTTGCTACCGGAATTGTGCTTGGAGGTTACTTGGCATTGATGACTGTTATCTTCTTCTGGTTGATAAAAGAAACCGACTTCTTCTCTGTAAGATACTCTTTGCATTTTTTTGGCTCCTTCTGTTTTACAGAAACTTTCATGAAGTTCAGTTTCCAATATGCATTTTCTGTCATTTTGTTGTAGGAAAAATTTGGCGTACGATCCATAAGAGAGAGTCCTGAGGAACTAATGGCTGCCTTATACCTACAAGTGAGTATTGTGAGTCAGGCTCTCATTTTCGTGACTAGATCCCGCAGCTGGTCCTTCCTTGAACGCCCTGGACTGCTACTACTCGGTGCTTTCATGATTGCGCAGCTGGTAAGAACATTCCCATGCATATCCTTTCCAAGCTTTTTGAAATCACAGAAAGTGTTTATACATGTTACCAGTTAGTTCCAAGCACAGCCCTGCTTCTTATTGTCATAATGCTGCTTTACGAAGCTAACGATTATCCTGTTTCAGATTGCAACTCTGATAGCAGTGTATGCCAACTGGGGTTTTGCAAGAATACATGGAGCTGGTTGGGGATGGGCCGGTGTCATCTGGATTTACAGTATTGTCTTTTATTTCCCACTCGACGTGATGAAGTTCACCATCCGTTACATCTTGAGTGGAAAAGCCTGGCTTAACTTGCTTGAGAACAGGGTACATCTATTTTAAATTATACATTTAGTTAGTTTGATGAGAGAAGTCAAGGCTTTCTAATGTTTTTTCCTGTTGTAACAGACTGCCTTTACCACCAAGAAAGATTATGGAAAAGAGGAGAGAGAAGCTCAATGGGCTCATGCTCAAAGGACCCTGCATGGACTCCAGGCACCAGAAGCTACTAATATCTTCAATGACAAAAGCAGCTACAGAGAGCTGTCTGAGATTGCTGAGCAGGCCAAGAGACGAGCTGAAGTTGCAAGGTAAGCCACCATTCAGAACATCGCTGTCGAAGTCACGAAAGATGGGTAATCTTCTCTTGCCAGATATCTAGTATGTTATGTGGCCATACTATCAATCTGAATCCATACAACTAGCTCAATGGTCCAGATTGACAGTCTAGCTGCATGTTGACATAATATATCAGACTGTTTGGCAAGAAAACATTTCCCCGTAAGAGATAATATATTCCGTTTTCCATTATTTTATTGAAAATAAATATCTTTTGATTTTGTGGTTTATAGACTTCGGGAGCTTCACACACTCAAGGGACATGTGGAGTCAGTGGTGAAGCTAAAGGGCCTGGACATCGATACAATCCAGCAGCATTATACAGTGTAAGAATCCAGAAATATTACCTGGGAAAGGAAGGGTCGCAAGCAACGATGTATCAAAGTGAAGAGGACAGATACAGGAAGAAAGAGAGACAAACTGAAAGCAGGACTAATTAGTTAAACATTTCTAGATATGATGGAGAGCATGTCTGTGCTATATATCAAACTCTCCTACTCTTTTTACTTTTCCATTCTAATGTATTTCAAGTGCCAGAAAGGGGTTGTGTTTGGTTTATTTTTGCTCTGGTGTAGGGGCCAAACAGTGTCCCGCAGTTTTCTTGCCATAATCTGCTATCTATCTATCTTTCTTTCTTTATCATTTGCAACATATATCTTTGTATCCACTCCTTGAGGCCTTCAATAATGTGGGATCGAAAGTCTGAGACAGGGTTGGAACCATGATCACACAATCTTCTAATTTGATCATGGGTCGTTAGAACGCTGTCTCACGTTCTATTCGATTCCCGCATTGGAGGATTCGTACTCTTCTGCAACATAATGTTTCTATCAGTTTTGAATGGCTATTGAAACAAGAGAATTTGCATGAATGCTTAAACCTGTGTGTATAGTTTGCCAACAAAAGAAAAAGCTTCGAGTCTAATTTGTGAGTTTAACTTTTCTATGGAGTTACAATTTTTATCAATACTTCGCTCGAAATGTTTTCTTATAACTTATTACTTAAGGAACCTTGCAATTTTTTTTCAACAATGTCCACCTGTTAATAGTTTTATGGTTTTGAGTGATCTATTTGCCTAACAAACTTAATAGTGCGTTTCAGAAAATGTTTGTTCTACTGGAATGCTCAAGTCATTGTTTGGGTTAAATAAACCGATTAAGTATGTTAAATATGAATTTATTGTTAAATTTAAAAAAAGTTTCCAAATTAATTTCTACATCCATTTGGAGATCTTTCCAAATTCAATGTGTGTCATTAGCTACAATCCAATTAAAATTTGTTTCTATATTGGTTCCTACATTAATATACAGGCTCGTTTGGTACGTCGGACTGTACTGATTAATTTCCGTCGGATAGTACTAATCTGTTCCGGAGAGTACTGACTATTTATCCATAATATTATAAGGCGTTTGGTGCTATTCCGGATAAATAGTCTGACTAAGTTATACTGTGTTTGGTGATGTTCCGGATAACATCAGATTAGACTATTTTAAAAATAAAATAAAAATCTTTGATAATTTTAATGGAAATTGAGACATGACAGAAGACTACAAAATACCATCCCGCTTGCATATACATAAATATATGTGGTTTAACTATTAGAATTGTATTATGAATATTGATCTACATATGTCTGTACTGGACATCAAGGTTTCCATGTACAACAAGAAGAAGGAGAAAGTAGTAGCAGAACAGAAGCATTGCAATCAAAAGAGCCAAGGCCACAAGCTTGGGAATCGTAAAAAGAAAAGGAAAAGAGAAAATTTATTAATCAAGAATGGTTCAAGAGGAAAACATCAGAAAGGGCCCATGGTCACCCAGAAAAAAAAAAAAGGTTCCTAGAATTCAGGTTCATACAATTTTAATTTTGTAATTTTGCTCTCCTAATCGTCAGGTATGTATGTATTCAACTAAACTACCAACACTAGCACATTTGTTTGTTTTTGGACGAAAACTAGCACTACTCTGTTTAATACCAACAATCTAAATATTCCCACAACGTCGAATCAATATATCACATACAAAGAAAACATTAGATTAAAAAAAATGTCAAAAAAGAAAAATTAATAACCTAATTTCCACAAAAATTTAATAAAATTGAAATATATAAAGAATAGAGAAGAAGTAAGAAGAAGCATATTGGAGAGAGTGTGAAAAAGAGAGAGAGTGAGAGATGGATACCTGGAGAAGAGTGAAGAAAATAACATGTGGAGAAGATATATAGCAGAGAAGAATCCTAGGGAGAAGAAGATGAAAAGAGCGTCTGATTTTTTTTGTAAAACGCGTGTTCTATTTCCCTAGCCGTATAATTAAGCGTGTATTATCTAATCCGGGGTGTGTGGGTTGTATTAGTTAGTCAGGTAAGGAGAGTATTAAAAGCCCAACCCGTATAAAATAGTCGGGTAATTAAATAATACAAGTTGACACCAAACACCTGACATAGACTATTTACTCCTATCCAAAGTCTAATACGGTGTACCAAACGAGAAATGGCTTAGTTGGGGGTATCTTAGAAATCGAAAAAGTACAATAAATTCAATTTTGCGCTTGATTAGGCAACTTGCCAAGTTGGATCCTAGTCATCGGGTTTTATTTAGAAAAAAACAGGATTTTATTAAAACAAGATTTTATTAAAACAATAATAAAAAGATGGGTTGAAATTGAGGAAAAATGATTTTCAAGGAGTTAAGCTAAATTTTCTATTTAATAAAGTGCTTGTTTTGTTTTCTTTTGTCGAGTAGAGCATAATTTCCTATATGCTAGTTGGTTTTTTTATTTATTATTATTTTTTTATAAGATTTTTGCTAAGGTATATGTTGCTAGGTTAACTTATTAAACTAGTTTGACTTGTAAAGAAAAATAATTGTTGTATTAAATTTTCTATTTAATAAAGTGCTTGTTTTGTTTTCTTTTGTCGAGTAGAGCATAATTTCCTATATGCTAGTTGGTTTTTTTTATTTATTATTATTTTTTTATAAGATTTTTGCTAAGGTATATGTTGCAGTATAGATTTGTAAATAGGGGATCGTTCCCACAAGAAATTGGAGGCTTATTCAAAGGTCTAGTTTGAGTACGTAAAGAACACTTATTTAATACAATACAAAGGTTAAATACAAATCAAATACTAGAAATGAGTAAAGAAAAGTGAAAGGAATGAAACAAAGCAAGAAACCAAAGATAAACACAATCAAGATTTTATATCACTCTTGTATCACCACTTTATCACTAATTTATCACCATTGTATCGCTTCTTTATCACTCGGATACTGTAGCACTTTTAGGTCAAAGAGGAATTTATGAACTTCCTCTATTTTCCAGTTTCGACCTCTGTCTCGTTTTTGACCTGTAACTTTCAAACCGTTAATCCAAAGTTTACGTTCTTCATGTGGTTGGATTCAGCACGGAAAAATGAAGAACTCAGCGCGAGCCAAATGTAAAAAACATATACAAAGTGAGCAGAATTCAGTGGAAAGAACACTCAAAACTTCAAATAACACACATACATACAAAACCAAGGAAGGACTGATTAATTCAGTGAAGAGGAATTCATCAACAACATCTAGAAATCCATAAACTCAAGCATCAAAACAATAGAATATTCATGTTTAGGGCTTCAACCTAAGCCCTAGCTATGAGGTTTAGTTCCTCATGTTCATAGTAAATACAACTTGAAATAAAACTAGAAAGAAGTTACAAATTTTGTGAAGATGAAGGCACAAGATCTTCAATCCATAAGTGTTTTAGAATGTTTCGAATGATTTCCTCCCCCTAGCTGCCCTCTCTTCCTTGCCAACTCACCAATTCATAAGATACTTAACCTTTCCCTAAAGCAAGGTAGGCTAATGTCCCCATTTCATCATTTCTTTGGCTTTTAATACTTTAAGAGGGATCCACTTATCTAGGTAAAATATTGTTACAAAGTGGTGTCGTAACAAGTAGAAAAAAGAGGGTGACATCCAATAGAGGTAAAGGTGGTCCAAACCACAATTCCAGAGTTATGATCAATGCTGGATCGGTTGGCTAGGCTATACTTGTTCAATGGAGCTCACATTTGGATATGTAGTAGTCAACATCCATTGGAACAAGTTTCATGAAAAGCTTCACCTCATTCGAGCACCGGAGCATGGTGATCCACGGTCAACAAGTTGACCTACGAAAATGAGCAAAATCAGAATTTATTTTCAATAATTCACTTTTAACTCGCATTTATTCCAATCAAGGTACAATATATAAAAACACAAAAAGGAAGAAAAAACCTATAAAATGTCAAGAATTAACTCAAAACATTGGGTGAATGACAAGATAAATCATGTATAAAAATGAATATAAAATAACGGGTCCTCTATTGAGTTTCCTCTTCTTAATTAGTTTTAGAGAAAATAATTGGGCTTATTAGGCTTAATATAATATTAATATAGTATAGTGTTTTAAAAGTAACATACATATGTATATTTAGAGGTTTATAAAAATTGGGACCCTCTCAATTTGGAGGCCCTAGGCAAACGCGGTGCTCGCCTATGCTCAAGGCCTCCCCTGGTTGGTGTAATTGGCTTTGGTCTTCTATTTAATGAAACTCGATTTCGACGGAAAAAAAGCTATTGAATTGGTTGCTAGAAATGCTTTAAGTAAAACAAAAGGGAAAGATAGAGTGGTCTAATGCTTGTTCATTAGTCATCACATAGGGACGGACCCAGGATTTGAAAATAGGGTGGGCTAAATTTATCTTACATACAAACCTAGAAAACTTGATGGTACGAGTGAATTTCATTGAAGTATGAATTTTAAGGTCAATTAGCAATTACATGATAAACTTCTCCATGAAAGGAAAAGAATTGAAAGTATTTATTATCCATTACAAAAGAAGAAGAAAAAAAAACTGAACCATTTTAATCCATCCAAACCAACTTGGAAAATAAAAATGAGAAGATGTAGCCAAAATTTATAAGAAAAAAAAATGAATTGACGTTTTATATACACTAAAAAAGGTAAAGGTCAACCAAGGTGGTTGGTGTGAGTGGTTCGGCACTCTCATTCCTTAAGAGAGGTCAGGGGTTCGATCCCTGCTCTCTTACGAAGTCACCACTTTGGCCAACACTTTACCCCTTACGGGCCGACCCGGTGTGAGTGGGGATTAGTCTGGGTTGTGGTTAAGGCTTAAAGGTGCCACCCATAGTTGGGGCCCATCCAGGACCACCTTATGGTTTAGACCCAAAAAAAAAAAAAAGGTAAAGGTTTTTTTTTGACAGAAAAAAGTAAAGGATGTTCTCTAGGAATGTGTGTTTTATGAAAAAGGCTGAGTAATAAATATTAATTAACTAAAGAAAAAAAAAGATTTTCTATGGGTGGGATCACTGGGATGGGTGTGTGGAGGTGTGCTTTGGTGGGCTGAGTATTAATATTGGACTATAAAATATCAAGTCGCCCGGACTATAGCCCATGTTAGCATGGATCCATCCCTAATCACATTGCCTTCTCACATGTTGGAGGATACAGTTAAATGGTTACATTTATTAGCTTGATTGAGTGTATTTATTAGAAAATGATTGAAATGAAAAAGACTTTGGATGGAGGCAATTGACGCATTCGGCTGGCATTTAAATAGTTGTAGTATATATCTTCTTTAGAAAATTAATTAGTTAGGAGCCCAAAAATATTAGAGTTTAGTATAGTAAAACCCGCTTAATTTTATTTTTCGATGTAAACCCATTGATTATGTTTTCATTTCAGCAAACGTGATGAGTAAAACAATATTTATGGTTCCCCCTTTTTCAAAATTTTTGTTGTTTTTTTAACCCTTAATAGCTTTTTATATTGCCAACCCCTTAACTATTACCTGATTCG